TCTATACATGCAGCAGAATATTATTCAGCCTTAAAAAGGAAAATTCTGGGGTGCCTCTGTGGCTCAGTTGGCTAGGCATCCAACTTCGGCTCAGGTCATGATTTTGAGTCTGGTTCGTGAGTCCAAGCACTGGTGGTGCGGAGCCTGCCTAGGATTCTCTCTCTCCCTCTCTCTCCCTGCCCCTTCCCCAAGTGTGCTCTCTCTCTCAAAAAAATAATAAACTTAAAAAGAATTTTTTAAAAAGGAAGGAAATTCTGATACAAACCACAACAGGGATGAACCTTGATATTATGTGAAGTTAAATCAGCTAGCACAAAACAATATGATTCTACTTTATACAAGATACTTAAGGGGCGCCTGGGTGGCGCAGTCGGTTAAGCGTCCGACTTCAGCCAGGTCACGATCTCGCGGTCCGTGAGTTCGAGCCCCGCGTCGGGCTCTGGGCTGATGGCTCAGAGCCTGGAGCCTGTTTCCGATTCTGTGTCTCCCTCTCTCTCTGCCCCTCCCCCGTTCATGCTCTGTCTCTCTCTGTCCCAAAAATAAATAAACGTTGAAAAAAAAAAAAAAATTTTTATACAAGATACTTAAGAGTAGTCAAATTCATAGAAGTGGAAGGTAGAATGGTGGTTTCCAGAGACTGGGGGAGGGGGAAATGAGGAGTTAATGGGTCCAGTTTCAATTTCAGAAGCTGAAAAAATTCTAGATATCTGTTGCATGACAATGTGCATGTAGTTAACATGGTTGAACTGTATACTTAGGAAAGGTTAAGATGGTAAACTTTGTTATGTTTTAAACCACAATAAAAAGGGAACAAAACTGAGTCTGGCACGTAGAAGGGATCTGTGATTATCAGTCATGAGCAGAGACTGTGTATCAGGCCTTCAGAGTCAGTTTAATCTCTGGGCACTCCAGCACAGGTGACGATGGAGGACATGGTCCAGCCTGGGACAGGGAAGCCTGCATCTGGGAAAAGGTGGGGTATGACTCTGGGAAGGACCTCTGGTGGCTGGAATGGAAGAAGTGGGGGACTCTCAAGATACACATACAACTCTCAGACACAGACACTTTTTGGTCAGGCCCTATGGTCACATAGCAGAAAGTCAGATCTTTCGTTGGTCTTGGCAAGAGGACAACCCCACCTCAAGTAGTCCAACATGAGATCCTTAGCTCATGAATGCCCAACAATGGCCACAGCATCACTGATCCCTCCTGGTTTTCATAGTCATTCAACAAATATTTGTTGAGCACCTACTATGTGCCAGTCACTAATCAGTGCTGGGGATAAAGCCGTGAACATGGCTGGTATCATCCCTGCTCCCTTGGATATTACATGCAAATGGGAGAGTCAATAATGTACAATACAGGTGTAACTGCTACTAGACAGGCCCTTCCCAAGAGGATGTCCCACTGCCTGAGAATCAGGGGCAGGTGGAAGGGGTCCAGGGAGCTATCACCCTGGAAACCACATGGCCAGGGCTGGCCTGAATCTGCCAAGACTGAGTTCTTAGAGTGAGCGAAACTCTAGGAGATGTTGTAGAGACCCAGAAGAAGACAAGATAGCAATGGCCCCAGATATCTCACTGATTTTGATCAACTGAATGATTAGTACCATCGATCCCTACTACCCAAAGTGCAGTCCCCAACTCAGCATCACCTGGAAACTCATTAGAAACCCAAGCCCTGCCTGAAAAGCCTCCTGGACCAAAGTCTGCCTTTTAACAGGATCCTACTGTGATTCAGGTGCATGGCAGAATCTGGGAAGCATTTCATTATACCGTTAGCGGTGGTCACCTCTGAGGAAAATGAGGGTGTATCGATGAGAGGGAACTTCTGCATTCTAGTTTATACACTTCTATGTCACTTGAATTTCATGTGAGGCTTTTAAAAATAAAAAATAGGCAAAAATGTATTAAAACATCTTAGAAGACAATTCCCTTTATTAAAGGGGAGATATAAAATGCAAATAAATGTTGCACAACATATCTCAAACATCATACAGACGCCCTGTAGCTAAACGTAAGTCCCCACGGCGTCCCGCAATGTCCACCTGCCCCTCTCCTCCCAGGGGGCGCCTAGCCTGCTCCCGAACCCCAGCAGCAACCTCGAGCTGAGAACACCATTTTCGCATTCGGAGTTCTTCGTGACTGCCATACGGGCTGCTCACTACCACGCCTTGCTCTTCCACCCTGGTGCTGGTCCAGCCGGGGCTTGAACTCTCGGCTGTGGCCTCCCGCTCCGTGAGGGCCAGGACACCTGACCAACGTCTGCTGACTGTGCAACAGCGCCCGTATCAACAAACCACCCCCAAATTTAGTGGCACTTAAAACAATACCGATTTCCTATTTCTCAAGAGTCCGTGGTCAGCCGAGCAGTTCCGGACTGGGCCAGATCAGGTGAGGCTGGATGGCTTAGGATGTACTCGCTCACGCGCCTGGAGTCACCTGGTCATTCCCGCCTCTCTCAGCAGGCTTTCCCACAATCCCTCACGCGGCAATCAGGGGCTTCCCATTGGGCTTCGTAAGTCACGTGACCCGTGCAGGGGCGTGGCTGCCAGAAGCAGTAATTTTTAGAGGGCAGTTGCCAGAATCCTCTCCCACAGCCTCTGTTCCTCTGACCCTGTCTCCTTCACCTCCAGGCCATGTGAGCCAGCAGATACTGAGCCACCATCTGGATCTTGTCAGGACACTCAGCCTCTGCCATTCAGCCTCTGCCATCCTAATTGAATCCCGCCTTTCCCTCCCACCTGTCTTCTGCCCTACTCCGTCCCTGAAGTCAGGTACCCGGCACCTCAGCATCTCATCATTACTCCCTCTTGCTTGTCGCACTGGCCTAGGAAACAATGGGCCCTGGATCAACCCGGTTGACCAAGTTCCCCAGGCCAGCCAGGGGCTGCAGACCCCGCTGGAGCAATATGTGCTCCCACACTTCCAATCAAACCGCAAGGCGCCCTCAGCACCGACCCTGGTAAACAAGTCCCCGGGGCCCACGTGGTGACCCCACGGTGGCCAGGGGCTGCATCTGGCCTCCTCACCCAAGCCTCCCTTTCCTCCTAGCAGGCAGCCTGGCCCCCATGCCATTCATGTTTCCCCTGCTTTCTTTCTTCAAAGCCCCTCTGGCTTGTGTACAGATGTTGGCTTATGCCCTCTCTAGAATCTAAGCTCTGTGAGAATAAGGTTGTTTGGAAGCGTCTTGGCGTTTATTCTTGTATCCTCAGCACCAGGCACACGGGGGACCCTCGATGCCTGTTCACTTACTGCATGAAGCAGAGAACAGCTCCAGTGCAGAGTTTGCCAGAGGTGGCAAGTTAACATGTTTGCAATTAGCAGGGAGCCTCAGGACAGGCCTGGGGCATAGGTGGACGAGGCAGCCAGGAGCAGGCACTGTCAGAAAGCCCCTGGTGGGTTGTAGGCCAGCTCACTGAGGTCCAGCCACTGACCACCTGCCTAACAACAGCTCTCTGGGAGCCTATGATAAATCTAGGGTGGGAGGACTGGAGGGCAGGTGGTCTCAAAGGCTTGTTGCATCCGATTTTGATGTAGGTGTCCTACCGAGTCACAGTGAACCCTAGATATGAAGGTCCTTTAGTCCCTCACTGGGGTCACCTGTCAATGCTGATAGCCCTGCGATAGACCATTCAGTGATGAAGCCTAGGATCTACAGGTCCCTGGGGGAAGGAGTTGGTGGGGGGCGGGGGAAGGGGTCCAGGCCAGGAAATCAACAAAGGCACGGGCATGTGGCAGATGTGGCCCTGCCATAGAACTGGCTGGAGCATCTGGCTTGGCCACAGGAGGTGCAGGAAGGACTTAGCCAGGCTCAAACCAGGGGTCACCTGAGGAGGGCTCTGCCATGCTAAGCGACAAGACCCCATGTACAAATTCAACAGGACAGGGGTGTGTCAGAGTCAGACTAACTCCCAGTCCTCCTCTTTACAGGACAGGGCCCCAGGCAAGAGGATTGGTCTTCAAGTCTCCCTTGGGAAGCAGAGGCACTGAAGCAGAGTGTAGAGATGGGTTTGTCCCAGGCAGATGCCTGTCCTGTGGTGAACTGAGACCTCAGCCCCCAAGGATGGCCACATGCCAAATCCCATGAACCCTACTAATGAATAATACCTCACTCCCCAGTCTAGACCTTCTCAGACCTGGCACCCACCCCTCTTCAATCCCCAGATTCCAGCCAAGTGCCAGTCATCCCACTGCACCATGATCAGGGTGGACCACAGCCCAAGCTCCAACTGCTGCCATGGCCTTGCCAAGTTAAGACTACTGTGCCAGAAGGTTCTGTCCAGCTGCCATTCACTTCTTTACTGGTCTCACCTGGGGGCAGGGCCATGCCAAAGGCCAAGCAGGATGCTAATGCACCCTCCCCTCCCCGCCAACAGCCAAGAATCCTCAGAGCTTTGAGACGCCCACAGATGAAACTGTCCCCAAGACACTGGGCCCCTCGGGGGAAGAATGTCCAGATGTGCAGACAAGGCAATGCTCTGAGGATGAGGACCTAGGTCTCCACATCCCTCAAGACCCCAACAACAGTCACCAGGGAACCACAGTGACTGGGAAAGCACAAGCAGCGTCCAGGAGGAAGACAGAGTAGACAACAGCACAAAGAAAAAGGCAATTTTATTCTTTCAAGAAAATGTACTAACAGGTTGAGGGAATGAGCATGCTGGCCACGTCCCCCGTCCTAATCAGGGGTCTGAGATGAGGCCAGGCCTGACGAGGGCTTGGGAGAAGCTAAAGGGACTCCCTGTGACACTGGGGAGAGGACCAGGCAGGCCCAGGGGTGGGACTTTGTTCTGTTAGCACCAGGAACCGCCCACAGCCACAGCTGGACTTGGAGACAGGACAGTGGGTGGCCCTGCTCTGCCTCCACCTGAGCAGTCTGGAGAGGGGCTGGCGGCAGAAGGCTCCCTGCAGGCGGTCATCTGAGTGTGATTCTCAAATTCACAGACCAACCTTGGTCCCCCCAACCCCCTGTAAACATAAGAATGAGCACCAAGCCCCTCAGGACAAGATGAGGGTCCGAGACGTGTGGCTGGGCTTCAAGCGACCCAGGAGCTGCCGGGCTTTTTCTTGCATGAAGAGCTGGTCCCTGGTCCCCCCGCAGGCCACCGTCTTCCAGGCGCTGGTCATCTGGGAGGAGGCAAGTGAGTTACCATCTAGGGACAGCATGCTCTCAGTGAATACTGTGAGCCTGTCCAGAGGGGTGGGGGACATTTCTATGACCCTCCCTTTTGAAGCCACAAGTATTCTTGTGTTCCCTCCACCTTCCTGGTGGCCCTGGAGAAGTCGGTCCTGTCTCTGGGCTTCCTCAGATGTAAAGCAAGGAGGCTGCACCAGGCAACATGTCTGTGCCCCTGGCTGTGGGCACCAGCCTCCTCACGAGGCAAAGCTACAGCCAAGCAGGTTGGTGGGAAGGAACAGCAAGAGATTCATACATACAGACACTGAGGTGCGAGCAGCCACGGCAGACATCAAGATAGACATCTGCCTTTGAGGACAGACATGTGCTAAGCAACTAAATACAGAGACGATGACCTAGTTACGAGACCACATCATAAAAGGGCTGGGGGGGCAGGAAGGGGGTGCAGGTCTCCAGCACATGGGCTCCCTGAGGGTGTGATGTCCAGACTGAGATCTGAAGTGTAAGTTAATCAAGCAAACAGAGCCTCAGAAAGGCATTCAGGCAGAGGCAACAGTCTATGCAAAATCCGCAAGGGGAATACCACATTCGTGGCCAGCACTCACAGGGGCAGGTGTTGGAAAGTGGCTTCGGGACTTCTGCACCGCCATGGGCTTCTCGGGCTTAGCCTGCAGGAAGCCCTCATTAAGTAGGCTGTTGTCCTCTTTGATGCCTGGCACAGAGAGGCTGGAGGAGCTCGATAGGACATTTGTCGGCTGAAATCAAAACCAAGCCAAAGACTCACCCTTCTGCCACAAGCATGGTGGGAAGGAAGAAAACTAGTCATAACCCAGCAGCACTACCTCTGGGCTGTTGGATCTTGGGCAGGACATTAACTTCTCTAAGCCTCAGTATCCTCTTCCAGATGGGGACTTCTCTGTAAAGTGCCTGTTTCAGAGCCTTCACCTAATAAATGCCCAACAGTGCTGGTCCCTTTTACATGGAGCTGGTTCCTCCCCAACAGCCTCAGGCAGGGGCGGGGGGGGGGGGGGGGGGGGGGGGGGTGTGCTCTAGTTTCTCCTGGGATCAGAAACATCCACAGGCGGGCAGTCAGAGATAGCAGCATCAACCAGCACATACACACAGCTGCACAAAACACCTCCAGGCCCTCCAGTCTCCCAGCACTTCTCCTTTACCCTCCTAACAGTCTGCTGGGCTAGGGGCTCTTATGACAGGCAAGAGTCAGGCTCGGGGAACCTAAGAGATCCCAGAGAGCAAGAGCCAGTGTCACCAGTGCCAGGACTCCATCAGATCCACCCCACCCCAAATCCCATGCTCTTAGCTACTTGCTATACTTCTTTACCGTTTGAGAATTATTTTACATGCCCACAGTGATGCCTGTTACAGGTCTGGATGCACGGCACTAAGTCCCCAACCTGGTGGGGCTCCTCACCCAGTGATGCTTCTCCGCAAGGGCTATGGCTACAGCAGTCCTAAGTCCCCATATCTGCAGGATCTGATCAGGCAATCCTTTGTCTCATGACTCCTGCCACACTTCTCACTGCCTCACACTGGGAAACTCATCCAACTGTCAGCTGAGAGGGATCAACAGTTTGGCAAGCTTTCCGGGGGCAGGCTCTGCATAGGCAACAGCCCCATTCCTGAGCTCAGCAATGGGACCTGGAGAGCACCCATCCCAGGGCTGATGTGCCCCAACCACCTGGCTGTGCCTTAAGCCTACCATTGACCCTCTGCACATCACCACCATGAGTAGAATATAATGGAAGGTGCTAAGGACCCAGATCCATGGTTTTCAAACATGTTCTAGCAATGTAACTCTTGCCAAATAAACCTTTCTGTGAAAGACACATGCAGAGCTATCTTGACTGAATCTGGGGGTGGGTGCCCAGCCCCACCTTCTCCATCAGCCCCTCACTGCAGAGCCTGATATCCAGAAGCCTGGTCTGAGAACCACTGGGCCACTTTGCTGCCAGGGTTCCCCCACAGCCAAAGGGTTCCAAAGGCAGAGGGTCTCCAGCGAGACTCCATCCTCCGTGGGACAGAGGAGCCCTCTGTAGTTCTGGGCAGGGGAGCAGGTGAGGCGGCCGGGGGCGGGGGTGGAGGGGCGTTTCTCTCTCAGACCCCTTACCAAGGACAGCACCTTGGGCAGTGTGGACATCACCAGCTTCACATCCTCATCCACAATGTCAAGAGCCAGGGACTTGCGGACCTTCTTGATGGGGCTCCGCCGCAGCTGGGGGTGGGGAGGAGGGAGACAATTAGGGCAGACATTTGGGATTCCTCCTGAGTCACCACCAGAACCTTGGGTACGCCTGCCCCATCTGCCCTGATCACAGACTCACGCCCTGATGCAGTGGGGCCTTCAAGCCAGGCCCCTGGTTGGCAAGAATGGGGCAGAGTGTGGGGTGTGCAGGTGGATTGGGAGACCCTGGCCCCATCAGATTCAGCACCTAGGGCAGACCATCCTGCCAGATGCAACCACAGGAAGCAAGGACACAAATGCCTCCATCCAGACACCTGCTCCTCATCCCTCGATGGACCACGCATAGCTCCCAAGCCTCTACCACACTAAACACACCCCTAAACAGGCCTGGGAGAGAATCATCCAAATTACACCTCAAATACTCACCTGCAAACAAGGAATACAGACATGTAAAACCCGAGGGACACAGGCTTGTTACAGGAATGCCGCAGCCCCATGCCTGCACCTCCAATAAGCTGGTCAAAGGTCAGCTCCAATATCAGGGAGGAGCTCTGGGAATGACTCACCCCCTAACCCAGCAGTGTACCCTAAACAGGTGCCGGCATGTCTCAGAACCACCATCTGACATAGAGAGGTCAAGTTCTCTGAACCTAGGGGCCCCCACCCAGTGGGCCACTCCCAGACTGACTATCCACCTTCCCTACACACCTCTCTGACACATTCCCATCTTCCCCCCTCTCCCAGAAGAAAGCATCTACAAAAAGGGGGAACACCGAATCCATCTGCTTTCAGGAAACTCACACACATGGTGCAGCAGAGGTGTGGCTTCTGGGCTGGCCCAGGGCAGCCCCTGCCCTGTTCTCTGTACCCAGGTGTCCTTGCCAGCTCTCCACCTCACCCGAACCAACTGTCTCCCACCTGGCTCCCGCGGCCCAGATGCGTGGCTGACTCCATCTGAGGAATCCTTGGAATCCCTTGGAATCCTTTTTGTGTCCCTTTCTACTCCCTTAATACCATGTATTGAGATGGTCGTGATGCGTTTGTCTAGTGTCTGCCTCCCGCCCCCTGAGCTCTAGGAGGGAGTGACCACATCTGGGTCTACATCACCATTCTAATCTACTGCTCCGAGCCCAGAGCCCACCTTAGAAGGGTCCGAACACAATGCTACATGAGTAAGGGGCTAGTTCAGTGGGGAAGAGGCAAGGGTCCTGAGCACTAGAGCCTCACCTTGGTCAGTTTCATTGATAACCACTCTGGGGAACAAAGGGCATGGGGCTGCAGCTCTACATTTCCCCAGTACCCTCCTTTTACCAGCTGTCCCCAGACTCCCCACCCCACTCTCTCCCCTCACGTCCCCATGGCTTCCTTGGCCCGAGCTGCCCAGGCAGGCAGTAAGGGCATTTCCCACCCCACCGGCCACTCACCCCAGTCTTCCTCTTCTGCTTCTCAGGCCTCACTTCATCCTCAATGATGAGCTCGATGCCGGCCTCAGAGCGCAGCACCTCCTTCAAGTCCTCCTCCAGGTGCGGGGTCTGGGGCTGGGGGCGGGACAGGGCAGCCCATGTGAGGTTCCACACCCAGGCTCTAGGATACAGCACCCAGACGCGCCTTGGCTATCCTAGGCAATGCAAGGAGGCCTGGGGCCAGGATGCTGGCCTCACACTCATTTGTGACCATTAACTGTCCTGCCTTGGACAAGTAGACATTAACCTCAACTCACCGAGGACCGTCATGAGCCAGAAGTGCACCTACACATCACCAATGTGACCCTCACAAAACTCAGTGCAACAGCTGTCATCTTCCACAAGGTAGAAATGGGAGGTTCAGAGATCAAGTGCCTGGCCCAAGATCACATAGCTATGAAATTAGAACCTGGACATGCTCGAGCCCAAACTCCTTTACCCCTTTGTTCCACACTAACGGGGATTCTTGGTTCCATTTCCCTTTCTTGGGCCTATGGGCTTCCAGACGACCACTCTGGCCTCAGGCGGCAGCGAACAGAAAAAGAGAGCAGCAAGTGTAGGGGATGGCAACCCTGAGAAGTCATTCTAAAAGCCCCTACGTGCTCTAATTTTGGTTGCCAAGGTCAGATGTGCCTTATCAAGCCTGTCTAGAGAGCAGGCCGATGTCTCAGGGTCTGGAAACTGTATCCCCACCTGAACTAGAGAGGGCAGTGCTAACTAGTGCTTCACTGGGCCCATTAACTTCATCAGCTCCATCCCAGAGCCGAAGAGACCACAGCACGAGAATCCCACACAATGGGGGCCGGGGGCACACCACAGACCCTGTTCACAGGCCAAATGCTTTTCTACAACCTTTCTCTCACCTTCAATTCATTTCTAGAACACCTGCCTCTGTTTCAGAAAGCCCACGGTGCCAGTTTTCTGTTTTCACCAGGGAAAGCATGAGCATCCCACTGGGAGGAGTGGGTAGAAGGGCAGTTTGTCCACGGCCAGGAAGGTGCCTCACCGGCCCCTTGTGCCTGCCCACAAGTGGCTCGCACATGTTTTATAAAGAACCGGCAGTTTGTCAAAGGCTTCAGTGTGAGGGGCAATTAGCCCCAGCACTCAAGCCCATCCTCCATTCCAGCCCCTGCCCATCTTCTCCCCAGCACCGATAATGCACTGGGAGTACCGAGTTATTCGTGTGTTTGATGTTGCCCCCACCGATACCGAGATTCACCAGGGTGCGACTGTGTCTCCAGCACCAGCCAGTGCCCACTCAGCACACTGCAGGTGCTTGGATAATATCTGATGAATTGGTAAGTAGCTCAGCCTCAGATCCCCCATTTATAACATCAGGGTATTTGCAACCTCTGAGAGGTTGGCAGAGTCTAATGAGATCTCAGAGGGGAAGAGCTCTGTGAGCCGTACATGGCTGCATGGACCCAAGCAACCCCACCGTGCATACCCGCCTGGCTGCACCACATACCAGGGGCTTTAGTGGTCCATACTTCTCCAGGGCATTCTTGAATGGGGTCGGCGTGTGAGGAGTGTTGTCCATGGAGTACTTCTGATCTGGGGTTACAAACCTGCCAGGGCCAGAGAAGGAGGCTTAGCGACCGGGTGGGGGACAGACACCAGCCACACCGCCACAGGCTGCCCATGACAACCACCATCCCTCCACCTGACCTTTGGCCTTGGCAGCAGGGAGCAAGCCCCAGGCACATGGTCTCTTCCCATGGCACCTTTCCACCCAAGGGTCTTCATCAGGCGCTTAGAGGAAGCGCCAGCCTCAGAAACAGGAAAGAACAGGACATAGTCTAAGAGGGCCCTGGAGCCCCAGCCAGGCAGAAGAATGGTTGAGACTGTTGCTCCAACATTAGCCGATAAATGAGGACTTTTTTTTTTTTTAATTTTTTTAATGTTTGTTTATTTTTGAGACAGAGACAGAGCATGAATGAGGGAGGGTCAGAGAGAGAGGGAGACACACAATCCAAAGCAGGCTCCAGGCTCTGAGCTGTCAGCACAGAGCCCGACGCGGGGCTCGAACTCACAGACCGTGAGATCACGACCTGAGCTGAAGTCGGACGCTTAACCTACTGAGCCACCCAGGCGCCCCCCTTTTTTTTTTTTAATTTTTTTAATGTTTATTTATTTTTGAGACCGAGAGAGACAGAGCATGAATGAAGGAGGGTCAGAGAGAAAGGGAGTGAAGACTTTTCATAAACAAGGCAAGCCTGTAGCCATACTGCATGCAGGCCCAGTGAGAGAAGGTCAGGGGAGCGAGGCAATAATCCAGGAAGACCAAGTCCCTTCACCAACCCCTCTCCAGAGAGTACGTGCCCCATGGAGAGCATGTGGCAGCAGCATTATTAAAGGAAGACATGTGATGCGAGATGGTGAAGCCAACGCACATGCTTAGCGTACCCTCTTCCCAAGTCCCCTCAAAATGATCACAGTGGGGACACAAATGGGGAGGGAAAGTTTTAGCAGACAGAAACCTGGGAAGGGTCTGGTCCACAAGCAGAGATACTAAAAAACTTCTATCAGCCCTGACCCTGGCAGCATGCAATATCTGCCAATGAAGGAGAAGCCTACTGGGGAGGGCCCAGAAGAGATCCCTCACAGGCCCACACCAAGCTGCAGGCACGGGCCCACCAGCTGGCCAACTTTAGCTCTCCACCTGCATGAGGCTGTGTGACCCCAGTCAGCTAGAGGTACTGCCACAGTGGACTCCCAGGCCTTACTGGGGCCATCAGAGGATGGCAGAAATATCAAGGTAGTCAGGAACTCAGGAGCAGAGGCCAACATGGACACCATTACTGGGGCTGTTGCTCTGGCCACCTCCCCCAGCCTGCCAGCCATTCCACAGGGAGATAAAAGGCTGGAACAAGGGTAAAGCAATCTTTACTTCCTGCCTCAGGGTGGGGGTTAGATAAGGATCCACTCAATCTCTTCCCAAGTCCTTGTTATCTCCCACACAGGACACACAGACACCCTGCCCACCCCGTAAAGATGAGGAAAGACAGTAAGTGACAGTCAAATGTAAACATCTCACAGTTCAAACTGCAGTTCAAAGGGATGACTCCAAGTCTCTGTGGGACATGGAGCTTTTGCCCATGAGAGGTCAGGGGAGTGAGGCAATAATCCAGAAAGACCAAGTCCCTTCCCCAAGCCCTCTCCAGAGAGTGCGTGCCCCATGTTGCATATTTTTGCAACAAATATGAGAAAACTCTAGAACCTCTCCAATTCACAGTATCAGCAAGAAGTAGTAATACATGCATGTTAGAACACCAAGGAAGACCGACTTGAAAAGGAAAGACAGAGGATTACTTGAGATGAAAATAATTCCACTCTGTGAGCCAGAGGCCTCAGCAGGTGGGAGACTGCAGGAGCAAACTGGTGAATCAGAAGACAGTCCCACCATACTCCCTCAGAATTCTGGATGGCTTAGGACAATGAACAGGAATGTGAGGGTAGACAGAGACACGGCAAACAACCAAAAAGACTGTGTAGGAAGGAGGCCCTGAAGTGGAAGGAAAGGGGCAGACCACCAGAGAAACAATTAAAAAAGAAAGAAAAAAAAAAAAAAAAAAAAAAAAAAAAAAAAAAAAAAAAAAGCACATTTTCTTAGCTCAAAGTTTGAGTCCTGAGTTTGAAAATCAGGGTGGGGGGAAGAGGGGGCGATTTATAAAGAGACAGCACACCTACATGCCTGGCACATTTCAGGAATAAACTACACACACACACACACACACACACAAAACTAAAAGCAAACCAAAGCTCTACAGGGATCCAGGGAGAAAGAAAAGATTTGCTACAAAGGAATAACAGCAGGTTGGGTGTCAGATTTCTCCGTAACATAAAAACAAAGCAGAGCCTGCGGTATGGGGTCACAGCTCTTCTCCCTCAAGACTTCTAGATCCAGCTCCTGTGGTGGAAAAACAGTACACAGACAGCCCAGACATCAGATGGCACAGACCTCATACCCTCCCTGCTCACAGCCTCGTCTCTGGGAAGAACTCAAAAAAAGCACTAACCCAGAAAATAACCAAATTTTAAGAGTGGGGAAGGTTTGTGCTTTATGAACCAGTAAGATCTGCTCAACACAGCCCAGCCCCACTAACACACAGACCTGGTGACCCCCGACTTCTCACCTACCATTCTCTACACCAGATTCGCTCCAAACCTACTGGCCTTATCTTTGTTCTTTAAAACACAAAAAGCCTGTTTCTGTCTGGGAGCCTTTGCATTTGCAGTTCAACCTACCTGGAATTCCTCTCTCAAAATTCTGCATGGCTCCCCCTCCCTACAGGGCCATCCCTGATGTCCTTCTAAGTTAGAAACCCCTCTCCGTTACTCTGTGCTCCCCAGGCCTGTATAACCCCGCTCACGGTTTCTATCGCCATTGGAAATACCATATACTGAGCATGTTTTATTTATTTGTTAAAGAGCTGTCCTTTCATAACTTCTATGGGGGGAAAATTGGGAAAGGTGGGATATAAAAATCAGTGGGCAGGGAAACTAGTCAAATTTGGAATGAAGTCCAAACAACCATTGCCTATTATACCACCTTGCAGATGTCAAAAGTAACTTCTGAAAGAGACAAGAGGAAAACCAAAACAGTCTTTTGTGATAAGAATCTGGATTTAAAGATGAAGTAGCAGGTCTCCACTTGTGGCCCAAATAGGACATTGGGGCCAGATTTACTCTCCTGCCTGAAACAACAGAGCAACAACACACTGTGGATGACACAATAGGCTTCAAGACCCCAGGCACCAGATGACCGAGGACAGGGACACGAGAGATGGGAGACAGATGAGGACAGTTCCTGGGCAAAGCTCAGGGAGGGGAGCACAGGGGAACCCGGCAGGACCCTAAGTCGAAGAGATGTGCACAACACAGCATCACTGGAGAGGAGAGGGCTGCACGGACATCTGCAGATGGGCCTCCCTGAATATTCCGCAGGGCGCTAATCAGTGTACACATCTGAGGAGACCACCTGAGAGCAGGCAGACTGATGCAAAAATATCAGAGGGAGGGGCACCTAGGTGGTTCAGTTGGTTAAGTGTCCGACTCTTGATTTTGGCTCAAGTCATGTTCCCAGGGTTGTGGGACTGAGCCCCACGTTGGGCTCAGCACTGGGCATGGAGCCTGCTTGGGATTTCTCTCTGCCCTTCTCCAGCTCACACTCTTGCAAGCTCTCTCAAAAACACAAACAAACAAACAAACAAACAAACAAACAAACAATAAAACAGTACAGGCCAGATGACAGGAGAACATCTTTAAAACTCAAAGGAAAAAATAATAAATAAAAACAAAACTCACAAGAAAAACCTGTCAGCCTAGGGTTCTGTACCCAGCAAAACTACCTTTCAAACATTAAGGCAACTTTTCAGACACACGAACTTTGCAGATTCACCAAACTGCAACATTAAGAGATGATTTTCAGAGAGAAGAACATTATTCCCAGATGGAAATACGGATTTATAGAGGAATGAATAGTAGTGGAAATGCTTCTTCATGTGGAGGAAAACAGAAAAGCGAGAGCAGCAGCAGCAGACTAGGAACCAGATGAAAAGAAAAAGGAGAAAGAGAATTATCAGTGCCTTTTGTGGCACCAGCATATCCACTTAAAGGCTTAGATTTTTAAAATTTTATCTTGAACAGAGAAGCACTCTGCATCCAACATGTCAGTTAAACTCGGTCAACTGCTAAGACCAATTTCTGACCAGAGGATTCATAAATCTTTCCTGACATTGTGTATCATTACAAGGGCTAAAATTTCTGAGCTGATTCCTGAATTATACAGCTTCCTAAGGAGATAATTAGGCAATGCTTCTCTTGCAGCAAAGGTAATAAGCAGAAGCACATAGCAACTGTCTCTACCTGGAATTCAGAGTCAGGATGACACAGGAAGTACACTTATATGAAAACACCTCCATAAAAGCACACGGTTAAGCAACCTGTATAGGTGAAACACTGAGCTTTCTAGGCTCACAGCCTGACCTCCTCCTGACTGGGCACCATGGAGAGATGGAGAACCAGGCACTTCTGTCCTTCACATAAGGCTACTCAAGCACAGTGGATTTGCACGGAAAAGTCACACTAGATTAGAAGACTTTTTTCATGGCTATCTGGACGCTAGTCTGAAGATTAGAAAACCATCAAATTAAAAAACAAAAATGAGGAAGAACAAAGATGAAGCACCAGGCTATCCTGACAAAAACGAAGAGGCATGGTAGCCAGAAGGAGGCTGCCTTCTTGAAACAGTCTCAGGAGTTTCTCTAAAGGTGGTCCTGATCCTGGCTTGGGAGGGAGGGGCCAGCAGGAGTGGGCAGGTACAGCACTCACGCAGCGTGCTTCTGGTGCAGGGGCGTCTTATCCCGGTGCAGGGGAGTGGTGACCACCACCTTCTGGCTGCACACCGGGGTGGACGTCAGTGAGGGGCTCTCCAGCTCCAGTGTGTCCTGTTTGTTCCAGAAGTTCAGAAACTGCCAGGGAAGAGGATGGAAACAAGAGAAAGTGACAACCTGCAGGGAGGGAGTGAGAACCTGACCCCCACCCCCTGTTCTCTGACGGAGTGTTCCTCCTGACCTGGGAGCACTCCCCCATCAGGCAACAGAGAATAAATACCAAGATAGCTTGACAGGACCCACCAGCTAGGATTGCACAGACCCCTGGGATTGTCACTGCCCCCAGCCTTTGCTTTCGTGATGCTGGGGGAGGTCCCTCCCCCTGCCTGTGCTCACAGCACTGATGACCGTGCAGTCAGGACCAAGAAAGCTGACAGAGCAGCTCCTTTTCAGAAGTAAGACTAGCTCTTACACGACCTGTGGACAGGGGATGGTGACAATGGTTGTGGTGATGGGAGCACCTCCTCACACCAGGGCTAAGCATTCATACCAAGAATTTCTTATAGTTTTAGCCATCTTCTGTGACGTAGTGATATCATGACACCCCATTTTACAAATAAGAAGGCTGAGCCTTACAGAGGTAAAGGTTCTTGCACGGAGTGCTAGAGACAGGACTCAAACCAGATCTGAGCCAAGTCTGCGGCACTACCCTCCCCCCCTCTGCCCTGAAGGTGCCCCTGGAAACCCAGGGCCATGTGCAGGGTCCCCATCACCCTGGGCTGTTTGTTGGGCAGCTCAGGGCTCACCGTCTTCCTTCTCTCATCAGCTGCCCTTACTTGAGGCCTGCTATGGGCTGAACAGTGTATTGTTGCCCCAAATTCCTATGTTGAAGCTCTGACCCACAGGACCTCAGAATGTGACTACATTTGGAGACAGAGCATTCAAAGACATGATTAAGGGAAAATAAGGTCATAGGGAAGGCCCTCATCCAACATAACTGGTGCCCTTGTAAGATTCTATGAGAAGGAGGTAAAAGATTATAAGAGAAAACAGATCAGGACACAGACACAGACACAGACACAGACACAGACACAAAGGGAGACCATGTGAAGACACAGGGAAGAGACAGCCATCTACACCCAGAAAGGCCTCCAAAAAAACTGAAATGGCCCACGCTTAATCTCGGCCTCCAGAACTACAAGATGAATTTCTGTTTAAGCCCCCTGATCTGTGGTACTTTGTTAGGAAACCCATAGTGATGAACACAGGGCCTCTTGCAGAAAGATACCACTACTCACCCCCAACACTAGCCTGGCCTCGAGCCTTGAACAAATCATTAAGTAGCCTCCTAAAATGTGCCACATCTAGGCCTAGCTCTCTCCCATGTCCTCAGGGACCAGACACAGTGAGATCCAAAGCCTCCGCCTACCCTCTTCCAGTCTAGAGACATGGGACCTCCACAGTCTACCTCTCGCCAGCTCTTCCAGTCCACCCTCCCAGATCCCCACCACCCTCTCAGCCCCCAGGACAGTGCATCCCCCTCAATGACACCTAAGGCTCTCCAAAGCCCCCATCCATCCCCAGCCTCCCCATCCCTCCTGGCTCTGGACTTCACACCACAGACTCTGCTCCCTCATCTCCATGTCTTTGTTCAAGCTGACAAAACCCTGCCCAAACATCTCTCTCAGACGCTCTAAATGCCTTCCAGATCTGTAGGGGAGACAGGATCCCTCCTCAGCTCTCCCCAACAGTACTTTCATTACTGAGTCCCGGGAAGCAGCACCCAGGACACAATAAGCTCTCAAAGACCACAGCACTTCCCACACCCCATTCTATTCAAGTAATTACAAAGCTGCTCTCAATATTCACCATCCTCGTCAAGGGCAGGGCTATGCCACACTCACATTTGCACCCCAGGGCTGGCAAATCTGCTATGAGCAAGTGCACAATAAAGAGATTCTTTGAGCAAATACTGAGTCCATTCCCTTCTTTGCTCAGTTACCACCTGCTGGCCAAGCAATCCCTCCTCCTCATAGCAAACCCTCCAGGATGACCCCTTCCCCCCAGACTAAATGCCCTCACAAACCTATAAGCCTTCTCCTTCACACCAAATGTCACATTATTTGCATCTTTCCTGCTAAATGGTCTTCCCACCAGAGCACAAGCTTCATGAGGGCAGGGCCAGGCCTGTTTTTGCTCACTCTACACCCCCAGCACCTAGCACAGGACCTTGCACACAGCAGGTGCTCAGTGAAGACGTGCTGAATGACGTCTGCCTGCGTGCCAGGCCCTGTACTGGAACCGGAAGTCTGCACACCGAACCCAGTGAGCAGTCAGGGTGGGGGTCCACACACCTGGGAGGGCGAGAAGGGCAGGGTCTTGACGGGTGTGCTCTTGGGGGTGAGGCTGTTACAGGAGTCCATGAAGGACAGGCTGGCGCTGTTCTCCGTGACAGGGGACAGGGCGACGCGCCGCTTCTTCTGCCGCTTGAGCACCGAAGGTGGCGTGCCGATGCCCAAGCCCCCCACTTCAGTGCTGGGGGAAATGGGGATCAGCTCGCCCCGGCTGCTCCGGCTCAGGTCTGAGATGGTGTGGCCGTCCAGACGATATTCGGTCACACTGGGCACCGGGGCGGCCGGCTGGCGGGGCAGCAGTGCCTGTTGCTGCTGATGCTGCGTTGGCTGTGGCTGCACTGGACTGTTGCTGATGCTGCCCTCTGCAGACGGCTCCTCGGGCAGGTCAAATTTACTCAGGTCACACCAAGCATCAGGGTCCTGCCCAGAGAGGGGGGTTAGGAATAACTGCAATACTCTGCTTTCCCAATGGATTCCTCTACGTCTGTATATCTCTACTTGCAAACATACCTGAAGTCATATTGTGCACATGGCTGCTTGCTGTTATTTTTTTTCTTTCTTCTTCTTTTTTTTTTTAACGTTATTTATTTTTGAGAGAGAGAGTCAGAGCACAAGCACAGCAAAGAAAGACATAAAGTGAAGACATAAACACATAAAGTAAAGCAGGTTCCAGGCTCTGAGCTGTCAGCAGAGCCTGATGTGGGGTTCAAACCCACAAACCACGAGATCATGACCTGAGCCGAAATCAGATGCTTAACTGACTGAGCCACCCAGGCGCCCCTGTTATTTTTAAAAAGCAATGCACGGGCACCTCGGTTGCTCAGTTGGTTAAGCTCTTGATTTCAGCTCGGGTTATGATCTCACAGTTCGTGAGATCAAGCCCCACTCACAGGCTCTGCACTGACAGCGCAGATCCTGCTTGGGATTCTCTCTCTCCCTCTCCCTGCCCTTGCCCTGCTCACACACTCTCTCTCCCTCAAAATAAACATTTAAAAAAAAATGCTTAATAAAATATGCCTAGTAAAAGAACCAAAGTTTAAAAAAAAATGAACAATTTAAAAAAATCAATACATAAGGTATACAAAAAGCACAAAAAAAGAAAACTCAGATACCCATCAAGAAGTCTAGGAAATAAAACCAAATCACTGAAGCCCCAGGCCCACCTCCCTTGTTCACATCCTCTGCCTGAACTATTTACCATCCTCACACATTTCTTTATCATTTCACCACTTACACAGCTCCCTAAATGACAGCTAGGTTTCTGCATATTTTTAGCCTTAGAATAAACCACTTCTGTATCCTGCATTTTTTCCATTTAAAATTACAGTAATAATAATACTTTATTATCTACGAGTTAGATGTTTACTATTAATAAATATCAGTTATGTAAAATATTTTCAACTTTTACAAGTTTTTATGACTGTAAAATATTCCATCATATGAATATATCAGTTACTTAATTCCCCCGTCTTCTGTTGGACATTTTCCCCCTATTTTTTTTTTTAAATGTCTACTTATTTTGAGAGAAAGATAGAGAGCAAGTGGGGGAGAGGTAGAGAGACAGAGGGAGACAGAGAATCCCAAGCAGGTTCCGCATTGTCAGTCTGGAGCCCGATGCAGAGCTTGAACTCACGAAGTGTGAGATCATGACCTGAGCCAAAACCAAAAGTCAGACACTTAACTGACCGAGCCACCCAGGTGCCCCAATTTTTTAAAAATTAAAACTAACACCTTCAGGAACATCTTGGATACAGATCTTCTCCTGCATTTTTGGTGACTTCCTTGATAGAGACTCCTACAAGTGAAGTCTTGGTCCCGAGGCTGTGTGACTGGGTTTAAGGGTCTTGACCTGCACAGCTACATTCCTGGAGAATGTGCTCCGCTGTGCTCCATGCACCTGTCCATCATGGCTGCCTCCTTGGCCACTTCACCTAAATTGTCTCTAATCCCACAACAATCTTGCCAGGCAAGCATTACCTTCCTCCCTTCCAAGCTAGAGAGTTGTGCAACCTGCTGAAGTCACTAAGTTCCTGGAAGCATTCTGAGAGTCATACACAGGTCTTTCTTCCTTTGCCCAGTAAAGTACAACCCAGCCACAGGGCTGCTGGGAGACCGAAGCTTCCACTTTGGTCCCTGGAGGTCTGGCCCTGAGTAGACCCAGGCCTCTGTGGTGACTGCTGGTCCTTGGGACTCTCAGGACCCTGGGCAGTTATTCCTAAGGGTGGAAGCCAGCTCAGGGCCAGCAGTGACTTCAGGCCCACACTCCCAGCAGCAAACCCCAACCTTGAGGAGGCCCCAGACTGATGGTGTCTAATGGACCAGAAGCATATTCCACAAGGACTGCCTGCAGGAACAGTCAGCAAGCAGTGTTTCCACAAATGCTATAACAGAGCATGTATGTTAGGTAGCAAGTAACGAGCCTGGCACATAGCGGACACTCAAATGTTAGCTACCAGTTACTAATGAAGCATTTGGCCTGGCATACTGTGGGTGCTCAGTAAAACTGAGCTCCCCTCTCAAGTGGAAGAGGATGCAGAACAATCTGAGGATGAAGGCAGGGAACACTGTGAAATGCCAACAGTGCCAGGCATGGAGTGGGTCCAACTCTCATCTTCTAATTCTCCCCTTAGGGCCTGAATCAGGGACTACATATGGCAGCCTCAGAGCTATTTATTGAACATATTGATGAACACATCAGACCTGCTTCTCATACCACTCTGAAATTTCTTGGAGTAGAGGGGACACCACAGCTGGACCCTGCAGCTAGGTCCAGTCCCAGCCACTGGAGACAAGAGGTGGTCAAGACAGTGAAGACCACCATGCTTACTCGCTGTGTGACTGTACAGATACTACTTGACCTCTCTGAGCCTCAGCCTCATCTACAAAACACAGAGAAAGGACATACCTTACAGGATGCTGTGTGGATTATAAAGTCAGAGCCTGGCATTTAGTACATATTCCATAAAGAGCATCATTATTCTTAGCAAGGATGGGAAAGCCCAAGTGGGAAGCTGAATGGGGGGTGCCTCGCACTGAACGCTGCTCCTGGTTGCCAGGCCTCTCACCCATCACCTCCTGAAACCCGCTCTACACAGCAGGCCTGGCTGACACAGCTAGGAGCTAGGATGTCACATCAAGAGGTTCAGCCCCCGCCAAGGAACTCCCTCCCAAGAGGTACGATCCACAGCCAGTGTGGCCTGAGTTACCAGAAACCTCTTGGCACTCCAGCCCCAGCCCCATACATGGTGCATCAAGCACTGTGCTCTCCTGTGCTGGGTTATGGACCTCAAACGCCCACCCCTTTTCATCCTGGAGGTCTCAGTGCAGTGCCACCTCCACCGGGGAGCCCTCCCACCCCACCTGCACAATATATAGCATGAGTCAGGAGCTCCCTGAAGGCAGGGACTGCACAGCAACTATCTGTGTCCCCAAGCTCTGGCTCCCAGCCAGACACTCAGCATCAACTCAGGAAATGTTGGCAGGATGATGGAGTGAACAGAAAGAAGGATGCCTGCCCACGAGAGAAGCACTCCCAGCTGGCGGGTGCTCTAGGCCCACTGTGAAGTGCTGTGACCAACATTACCGACTCGATCAAGTCCAGGGCTTCCGAGAAGCTGGACCCCACAGCAGGGATGAGGAGGTTTGCGGCCTCCACCACCCACTTGTAGGGCAGGCTGGTTTCTGGCAAGGAGCCCTCCTGGTCTTCACGCTTGGGGAAGTCCTCCAAGGGCTCTGGTGTTCGCACTCCATCCAGGTCCGCAGGCACAGCTCCCTGCTCCTTAGAAGTGGTGGCTGCCGTGGCCTCCTCCTCACTGCTTTCCTCTTCCTTCATGGCAGGAAGCGCTGGGGGCCAGTTGGTCACAAGACTTCCCTGTTGGACACAAGGGCACACTGTTCGTGGACTTCTGGTTATGAGGTATACACCATGTAGCATTCCACCTAAAATCGCACAACTCGGGGCACCTGGCTGGCTTAGTCGGTAGAGTGTGGGACTCTTGATCTTGGGGTCGAGTTTGAGCCCCTCATTGGGTGTAGATGTTACTTATGAAAAAAAAGTTTTTAACAACATTTTTAAAAAAACATACAATCTGAATCTAACAAGGAAACTCAGAGGAATCTAAATTGAGACATAGCCTACAAAATTACATCATACGCTTCAAAGGTATCAACATCACGAAAGGTTAAGAAAGGCTGATGAACTATTCCAGATAAAAGTAGACAAAACAGGGGCGCCTGGGTGGCTCAGTCGGTTAAGCATCTGACTTCAGCTCAGGTCACGATCTCGCAGTCCGTGAGTTCGAGCCCTGCGTCAGGCTCTGGGCTGATGGCTCAGAGCCTGGAGCCTGCTTCGGATTCTGTGTCTCCCTCTCTCTCTGCCCCTCCCCCGTTCATGCTCTGTCTCTCTGTCTCAAAAATAAATAAATGTTAAAAAAAAAAAAATTAAAAAAAAAAAGTAGACAAAACATTTACGACAACTAATTAAAGTCTCATCTTGGACTGGATTATGGACAGGAAAATGGAATATAGACTGTAGATCAGTTAATATCCTGACTCAGTGTTAAAATCCCCCAACTAAATAGAAGCCTACTGTGAGTATGTAAGCAAATGCCCTTATTCTAAGATTCAGTATATTAAGGGATAAAGGGGCAAATGCATGTAAGATTCAGTATATTAGGGGATAGAGAGGCAAATGCATGTAATGGGTTCTCAAATGGCTCAGATAACAAAGCAGTATGTGTATACAGAAAGATAAAGCAAGTCTGACAAATGCTAAAAACTAATTGAATCTAGGGGCGCCTGGCTGGATCAATCAGTGGAGCATGTGACTCTTGACCTCGCAGTTGTAAGTTTGAGCCCCACGTTGGGTCTAGAGATTACTTTAAAAAAAAAAATTCTTAAAAAAATAAAACTACAACTAATGAATCTAGTAAAAAGTATTATGGGAGTTCCTTGTACTATTCTTGTAACTTTTCTGTATGCTTAATATTACTTTGAAATAAATGTTTGGAAAATGGGTGTATACTAATTTTGTGACCAAAAAAAGAAAAGAAATAGAGGAAAAACATTTGTGGCAATAGCTTTCCTGGAAGAACCTTGGAACTAAGGCTGACACGTTAACCTAACAGATCACAGTGTAGCCTTGAAAACAGCACATGTGATTAACAAGGCCTTCTAGAGGGCAAGGAGTGGGATCCTGTGTCAATGGGAGGGGCACAATGGCGTCAGGGAGAGGACATGGGCTCTGGATTCAACCAGAGCTTGGACATTTTTGCTAGCTGACCGTGGGCAAGCTGTGTGACCTGTCTGCGATTCAGTTTTCTTGCCTGTAAAATGAAGACAATAAGGTTTACCATGCAGGGACATTACAAAGATCAGCAATGATGTGAAAAGCACCCAACCTAAACAGTGGCTATTATCACTATTGGTGTCAAGTGAACAGGATGGAAATGGTTTGGGATACAAGCAAAGGAAGAAAAGGAGATAATTTGATTGGGGCGTCTGGGTGGCTCAGTTGGTTAAGCATCTGACTCCTGATTCTGCTCAGGTCATGATCTCACGTTTTGGAATACTGAGCCCCACGTTGGGCTCCACGCTGACAGCACAGAACCTGCTTGAAATTCTCTCCCCCTCCTTCTCTGCCCCTCCCCACTCACAAGCGCGGTGTGCTCTTTCTCAAAATAAACTTAAAAAAAAAAAAGCAGATTTGATTAAAAACTTATACCTGCTACAATTGGAGAAAGAGGAGGAAGGCCATAAACACCATTTAAAGGTTCGAATGTGGGCATCCCACTTCAGAAAATAGCCACATTGAAAATGGCTTGGCAATTACACATAGAATGCAGAAAACACTTAACATATGACCCAGCAATCCCAATCCTAGATATTTACCCAAGAGAAATAAAAATTTATGTTCACACAAAATCCTGTATACAGATGTTCATAACAGCTTTATTTATAAACACTAGCCAGAAACAATGTCCCTCAGCTGGTAAATAAAGAGTAGATGGTACCTGCATATGACAGATTATCACTCAGCAATAAAAAGGAACAAATCACTGACAAATGCAGTCACAGAAGAGTACAGACTGTACGATTCCATTTATATGACATCCTTACTAAGATAAAACTACATCGAGACAGAAAACAGGTAAGTAGTTGCCAAGGGCTGGGGACTTGGGAGTTTTAGGGGGTGATGAAATGCCCTCCACCTTCACTGTAGTGTTGGTTACATTTGTCAAAACTCACAGAACTGTCACTAAAAGGGTGAATTTTACTGTCTATAAACTACCCTTTTACAAAGTGAAGGGATGAGGAAGCTTCAAGTTTCCCAAACCGGAAAAACGGAGCTACTACATGATGAAAGGGTAATATTCTTTTTTTTTTTTTTAACGTTTATTTACTATTGAGAGACAAAGAAAGACAGAGCATGAGCATGAGGGGCAGAGAGAGGGGGAGACACAGAACCCGAAGCAGGCTCCAGGCTCTGAGCTGTAAGCACAGAGCCCGATGCGGGGCTCGAACACACAAACTATGAGATTATGACCTGAGCCGAAGTCGGATGCTTAACCGACTGAGCCACCCAGGCGCCCCGTAATATTCTTGATATAGAAATAAAAGTTTGTGAATTATTAAAAAAACAAAAAAAGAAGGGAAAAGCAAATCATTAAAGAAAAACGGTCAACTTCACCAGTAGTAAAATCAAAACCAAATACTCCACTGTTGCTCATAAAACTGGCAAAGATAGTCTTATAGAATCACAGCCACTGGTGACACAGTGTGGGAAAACAGGCAATGCCATGTGCTGCTGACAGGAAAAATGGTGCCACCACTTGAATGACAATTTGGTGATGCCTATGAAAATCTCAAATGTCCGTACCACTTGACCCAGTCATGCCACATCTGTAAAATTAACCCATATAAATAGGTAAATGTACAAAGAACTTGAACAGTGATGTTCGTTGCAGCATATTAACAAATGGTGACACATGTTCATCAATAGGTTATAAGAGGTGACAGAGTCAAGAATGGTATAGAGATCTGTATATACACAATGATGTGGAAAGATTTAAGAAGAAACCTGTAAGGCAGTAAGATAGAACATAATTTCATTTTAACCTTATTGCCCTTAGTAAAAAATGTTGGCAAACACATTAAACAATATATTGGTTCCTTGTGGCAGCTGAGATTAGCAGGCTCACCTTCCATAATACTGAATTCTATAAAGTTTGTAACTCTTTACAATGATCATGCATTGCTTTCAAAGGACAAGAACGAGAATTATCACTGCAAGCACTGACTAGTGAGTGGGGAGAACAGGACATAGTCCCATACACACATTAATAGGCAAACCTTTTCTGGCAGATAATCTAGCAAAATATATTAGAAGTTTTTCAAGAATGTGTCTCAACCCATCTCTAGGAATTTCTAAAATAATTGAGCACATGAGCAGTGATTTTAGCTACAAGAATGGTCATTAAAGTTTTGTTTCTAATTTTAAAAATTAGATACAACCATAATTAAATAAATAGCACAACAGAACCATGAAAATGATGGAGATGACCTCCGGTACTCAGGGTCATGATCTGGGCTCATTCTGGCCCAGCATGACCAGTGCTCCAGACACAAGACACAAAGTGCCAGGGGCAAAAACCTAGCCAATAAACAGACTTTCAACCAAGTAGGATTTTCAGAGACTGAGGAAGGTCTGTCCACTTCCCCTACCCTGAAAGGCAGCCTGGTGTGTGCTGATGCCTGTTTTCTCTTTGTGGGAACATATGCCTCTCCAATAAGAAGTAAAAGGCTTGAAAACATATTACTTAGTTTGTGAATATTACTTAGATACACCAGAAAGTGTGAGTAACCTCCTCCGGTTAGGGGTGTGTGAGGAGTCGAGACTGGAAGTTGATTTACTTTTCATTCTGTATCTTTCCCTACTGTTACTCCATATGAGCATTTGTACCAGGAAATTAAGCGATATTCTCTCTCTCAAGTTGAAAAATCAAGAGACAGAAGCAAAAACATTATGTAATGCTCCAGTAGGGCATTGTAGAACTGGAGCGGTACACAGTTCTACCTAACGGGAAGGAAAAGGGAAGGGGGAGCGGGAAAGAAGAAAGAAAGAAAAGAAAGAAAAGAAAGAAAAGAAAGAAAAGAAAAGAAAGAAAAGAAAGAAAAGAAAGAAAAGAAAGAAAAGAAAGAAAAGAAAGAAAAGAAAGAAAGAAAGAAAGAAAGAAAGAAAGAAAGAAAGAAAGAAAGAAAGAAAGATTATTCACGGGGCACCTGGGTGGCTCAGTCGGTTAAGTGTACGACTCTTGATTTCGATTCAGGTCACAATCTCACAGTTGTGAGATCAAGCCCATGTTAGGACCTGAGTCAGGCCTTACACTGAGCATGGCACCTGCTTAAAATTCTCTCTCCCTCTCCCTCTGGCCCTCCACCACTCATGCTCTCCTCTCTAAAAAAAAGGATTATTCACTCGTTCACCATCACAGAAGAAACTAGAACAGAGTACAGAGCGTTACCTACCACGTACTCAGCATTGTCGAATCTCCATTCTTTGACACGTTTGTTTCAAAATTTTTTAAGTTTATTTTTTTTGTGTATGTAATCTCTAAATGTGTATAATCTCTATATACAACGTGGGGCTTGAACTCACAGCCTTGAGATCAAGAGTCACATGCTCTTCAGAGTGAGTCAGTCAGGTGCCCCAAATCTTTATTTTTCAAGAATAAATCATTAGAGGGGCACTTGGGTAGCTCAGCTGGTTAAGTGTCCAACTTCGGCTCAGGTCATGATCTCATGGTTTTTGAGTTCAAGCCCCGCCATCAGGCTCTGTGCTGACAGCTCAGAGCCTGGAGCCTGCTTCAGATTTTTTGTCTCCCTCCTTCTCTGACCCTCCCCCAACCTCATAGACACGCACTTTCTCTCTCAAAAATATAAACATTTTTTTAAAATAATAAATAAATCATTAGAGGGACACCTGGGTGGCTCAATCAGTTAAGCATCTGACTCTTGATTTTGGTTCAGGTCATGATCTCATGGTTTGTGAGTTCGAGCCCCAAATGGGGCTCTGCATGGACAGTGCAGGGCCTGCTTGGGATTCTCTGTCTCTCTCTCTCAAAAATAAATAAATACACATTTTTAAAAGGGGAGAAAACAAATAAATAAAAGGGAAAAAAAGAATAAATCATTAGAGACATAGCTTAAAAACATCAATAAAGTTTGCTCCAGAATGCAGTTTAGGATGTAAACATCTGCACACTGGTTACATTTCTACAACTGCATATGTAATATATTTGTGCACTGACAGCATAGAGCCTGCTTGGGATTTTTTGTCTCCCTTGCTCTCTGTCCCTCCTCCAATCACTCTCCCTCAAAAATAAATAAATAAACTTAAAAAAATTAGGAAAGATGGGAATGTAAGCTGGTGCAGCCACTCTGGAAAACAGTAT